ATTACAGCAGGGTGTGGTGGCTTATGCCTAGGGTCTCAGTACTTGGAAGGCTAAAGTAGGTGAACTGCTACAAGTTCAAAGCCAGCCTGGGCTACATACCCTTTTCAAAAAACTAATATAATTAAGTGAGTAAATAAATAAATAAATAAATACCACGTGCCTTCTAAAATCAGAGTATAGAGGCAGTCAGAAGAAACAGAAAGTTGCTAGATTCAATCCTGAGGGAACTGGAAGCTAAATGGTAGGTCTAACAGAAACCACATGTCAATAGACCACTGTGAGCTACTACTTTCACCCCATGGATCCAGCCAGTCACTGAGAAGATTATATTAGATCTTCTTGACACAAGGTAAGGTCATGAGATGCAAGCTCTGAGAAGTCAACTCCGAATTATCCAAATTAAGGTATTATGAAGCCAAGATAAGCTGGTTCTCCCATGACAGAGCCTTGGACATATTAGACATAAAAAGACACAGGAAAGAGACATCTCAATTAACCATAATGATCTCTAATTCACATATCATGGAAAAGTGAACCAATGACCTGAGGGGAAAAACATAAAGAACACAACCTACTGATGAATGGCTTAATTTTGTTACAACTATATATTAAGCAATTTATATAACAGGAGAAAAAAATTAACATGTCATCTATGAAATTAAAGGACATGTGTCAAAGAAAGGACACATACAGCATGCAAGTGAATAAGTCAGTATGGATGGTTTAAGTGAAAACTACAAATTGAGAAGGGGATAGTGTAACATTTAGTACAAATTAAATGATAGCATAAACACGTACTCAGGAAGAGGGCCACAGAGAAGGTATGCTGAGCTAACAGAAAGCAAAGACACCTGAAGTCAAAGGCCAGCACATAGCAAAGTGGGCCCAGCTGTAGGAACAGAGTTCACAGGGTACGGAACTGGAATTGTCCTCATACAAGATCCTGTGTGCTTCATTCCACAACCACAGGGATGCACAGGGATACTATGAGATCCTAGAAGCTGGTCCCATGGCTTGGAATACTCTAAACCTTGACACTGGATGTCCTACAGATGCTTGAAGAGGTCTTCTAGGTCAACCTTACATCTCCTATGTAAATGCCTCATTTGATCTGGTGATCTCTAAGAGAAGATTGACCTTTCCCTGAAGGGCAAGACTGCAGCACAACTGCTGACAGGGAGGACGTTCTTGAAGGAAGGAAGCGCTAGGAAGTTATGTAGTTGGAGTGAAGGCTTGAGTAGAGGAATGCCTGGGATAAAGCTTAAATTCTGTGGCACTTACAAATCACCTCAGCAATGTAGAGAGGTTTCCTTCTGCTTCCTGTCTTGCTCCTGATAGACTCTGTCCTCTGCACTCAGAACAAGGCAGGAGGAGCACCTAACTGGACATCAAAGAGGAAACAGAGACAGCAGAACCAGATCATGTCCTCTAAAGGTCTGCTCAGAAACAGTACCCAGAATTCATGGCACTGCCCAAGAAAGTCTTCAACAGGGTTAGAAAGTCAAATCATCTGGTGGGGTGGAGGAAGGGCAAGAATCGTTCTAACGATAACAAAGCACCACAGAAGGAATGAAAAAGGCTGAAGTTAAGCTTTCTTCCCTCTTGCAATGATGAAAGAAGGGCATCTTGTTTTAAGAAGCAGGTCCTCTGTTTCCACGCAACTTGATGCTGCTCTCCATTTCCAGATGCCATCTTGCTATCTCCTCTCAACCACCCAAATGTGGACCCAAGACTTACCCAAAGCCCCAGTGGTGCCTAAACTAGTATTTCAAAGTGATTCATTTTTCATTTAATAATTTTCACAGTTTTATAGCTCTTTCCAAGAAGCTACACTAACTTTTATAATTTAGAAAAAGGCACTAATCAAATACCTAATTCAAATGTTCTCTGCCTCTGAAACCCTCCCTGATCTAGCCCGCTCCTCTTGCGACCCAGGTAATTTCTCTCCCCTGTGGTCTATACATTTAATACATCTTTTACAAAACCCACTACATTCAGTTTACAATTTTATTTTCTTTGTTAAGGCTTGATTACTAACCCCTGATATAGAATAAGCCTGTTTTATTTGTATTTGAATCTACTCTCAAACCTTATGATGCCCAAGTATCCAGCAAACTACTGATCGCTAATCTGAACATAACACAAGGCTGTAAAATGAACCTATCTGACACTATATACCTAGCAGCTCTCTAATCAGAAATTCATGTATACTTGGTATATTCAGAAACAACAGAAGGTCCATCCTGGGGAGTTGGTCATACAAACCATTTGCTTTATATATGAAATGTCTCTATTTATTGTTACTCCCATGTTTGCTTTCCATGACCGAAGACACCTCAATCCACCTGATAAAGCCATAGGGCAGTAATCCATAATCCAGGCAGGCCTCTGATTTTAACCATGATTTCCCCATGATTAGACAAGAATGAATTTTGTAATTTCAGTAATCCACAGTCTCAGTGTGACCTATAAATACATTTTAAGAGGAAATAAGAGAAATGATTATTTGAAGATTAAGCAAGTCTGATTCAGAGAATTGACACGAATGTTTTAAAATATTCAATTTTTTTTTAAAAAAGATTTGATAAAGTGTTTGAGAGCTAGGTGGGAAATATTTAAAATTTCAAACAACCACCACAATCTTAGCCCTGACTTAACAATTTCAGGCTTCAGTTCCTCCTTCTAAAGGGCAAGCTAAAGAAACTGAAAAAGAAACTGCTTCCAGAAGATACGCTGAGCCATGTGATCCAGATTCCAACTCTCTCTACTTCACAACCTATGGCTTTGATCAAGCTGGGAGGAACATTAAGCCATTCAGGTTGCATTTTCTCTCCAAATACTGTCACCAAGCAGCCAGAGGAGGCAAGGGACGCCAGGGGTCAGCCACAAAGCTGAGCTCACCTCTCAAGAACACCACTGCCACTCCTAAGGACAGAGGGGCTAAGTTCTAAACTGGTCTGAGCATTTACCTTCAATTCCAGAAGGCATGTAATCATGAGTATGCAAATTTTACCAAACAGGAGCAAAACGGAACCTTGCTTTTATCAACCAAACCAAACTGCTACTGTTACAGCCAAAGCAGGTAATTGAAGAATTGTGGCTCTAAAACCCTCTCACAACAGGAAGCCTGACATACTGGGTCTCAGAGCCAACTTGCATCCTGCAACTAGAGCCCATTGCTAATATCTAAGGACTACTAGCAAGTCAGATGCTAAACAATGATATTAATCATAATTAAATTATGGGAACATTTTTTAAAAATATACCAAGAAGACAATAAATACTTAAAACTCGTTACCAGATTATTTTCCCATTACCCAGGCTCCTGATGCTGTTTGTGACTACTGTCTCTGGTTCATAGAAAACCATCTACTCAGGAACCCTTGAGTACTGCAATTCCTCCTGACAGAGTCCCCTGCTGTCATTTAGCTGACTTTGCCACCTAAGGTGTCCATCACATCAGCACTTTTCACAGTAGCTGCTGTGCTTAAGCTGACTCTTTTGAGTTGGAATGAACATGTAAATCATGATACAAAGTATAAGGACAGAAAGCAACTACATTTACTGTGATCATGTAACGTACCAGTCATGGCACAGAGTATATGGACAGTCCTTCATGTCCTAAGAGGGAGTATCAAATCCTGTACACGGATGAATCCACTGAGCTGAATGCTAAAAGGCCCAAGAGCAAGTGAGATCTAAGAGTGCCTGGCTCAAATACATTTGATCTTTCTACTACCACATGCAGTACCAGTGTTATTATCACAATGAAATGAACATTGGCTGATCTATCTGTCTGAGAACAACCAAATATGAAGGGTATAGTGTTGTGTGACAATTTCTTCCAAGGCTCATTAAAAAGTTCTAAAGGGAGCTCTTTAAGAAAGTTCTAAAGGGACGCTCATTAAGACTCAGAAAGTAACCAAACAGAAGTCTTAGAAAGTCCTGGAAACAGAAAGTCATGCTCAAAGCCCCCTCTACCTCCCTGGGGTTGTATAAGCAGCAAGGACTGCTGAGGCGACTCAGACCAACCAAGATGCCTGAGTGAGACACTCTGCTAACTGCTGAGCTGCCTGCAAGTGATGCAGTGAACACCAGGCTTCCAGCTTTTGTGAGTTGTCACCTATCCTGGGTGGCTTTTGGCGATGCAGCTGCCTTTGAGCTGTCCATGCTCCTTTATACAACCTCTCACCCAGTCTCCTGTAAGTGACACCAATAAACGTACTGGTTCACCAAGTTGGACTTTGGTGGCATCTTTAGTTTGTCATGACTTCCCTATCTGGGGTGAAGAGATGTTTATGTCATATCTCCCCAGGACTAATGTCATAGGGAAGATTATAGACAATGGACCAAACCTTACTCATTCAGCAATTGGGTTCATAATTACTTCTAATATACTCACAAAGGCAACCTAAGAATTGGACTCTGGGAGCCCCAGAATCAAGAACATCTACATTTTTGATGAACTACTCCAAGTTTAATATGTTACCTGGTACCAGAAATTCTCTTGCAATTCATCACTTCTGATTATCCACTAAATTAAAAATAAGTCCTACCAAGAAATATTAATGCAAAAATTTCTCAAATTTTAGCATCATTTTTCTGAAGGATCTAGAGATTTACTTTTTAAAATATTTTCTCTTTTATGCATTTCAGTTATTTGATTGTGCTATCCTTTGCCATGACATCTTAATGACTGTTCACCCAGTTGTTAAAAGCATTCCAGAGATGGGGTTAGAGGTATGGCTCAGTGGTTAAGAGTACTGGCTGTTCTTGCAAAGGACCTGGGTTCAGTTACCAGCACGCACATGGCGTGGTAACAACCACCAGTTCCAGGGGATCCAACACCCTCTTCTGACCTCTGCAGGCATTGCACAACTCGGGTGCACTTACACACATATAGGCAATACTCTCATACACATAAAATAAAAATAATAAAATATATAAATAAATAAAATATTTTAAAAAGAATTCCAAAGAATTAACAAAAATGTACTTACAGATTGTTTCTTAAAAATTTCTTCTCATCTTGCTTCCTATAAACTACTAGCTTCTCCTGGTGTTGCAGTATGCTTCCATCACCTGCTATGAGAGGAAAGGATCTGATTAGTTCTATTATAAAGGTCATTTCTTACACCAGGTATGGTGGCACTAGCCTTTAATTCTGCTCTCTGGAGGCAGAGGCAGGCAGATTTCTATGAGATCCAAGTAAGCCTGGTCCTACACAGTGACTTCCAGGAAGGCTAGGGCTAGGAAGACCCTGTCAAAAAAACAAAAAACAACAACAACAACAAAAAAAAAAAACAACAAAAAAACCAAACAAAAAGCTATTTCTTGGTTTCTATTGTTAGTCTTTTCTTTTGATGTACCACCTTCTGACTGCCACAGAAACCTGTACTCATGTGCTAGAGAGAGGGAGAGAGAGAGAGAGAGAGAGAGAGAGAGAGAGAGAGAGAGAGAGGCATATGCTGACACATAAGTAAACAACAAATCTTATTAAAAAGGAGCACATGAAGATCAGTCCAAGAGGGAAAAAAAATTATAGCACAACTTGTATAGCTGGGGCTGGGATGGAGAACCCACAGGATACCTTCCATTGTGTTTTCAGCAGAGATTTCAGTTACCTCCAAAGGAGTAGTATAATCATAATCCACCTTCTCTTCCTTTCTCCTCTCCTCTCATAAACTATGAAAAAGCAAGTGACTAATTGCTTAGGAGCACCAGTGAACACTGGCTAGGGCTTAGCTACCAGATGGAGCCAGGCAATAAAGGCCATCCTCCAGCTCTCTGTAACTTATAAGCAGGACAAGGGCTGTCAGCTCTTCTTGGCTTTCTCTCTAGCTGTCCCTGGAGGGCTGCTATGGTGGGACCCCTGCTTCAGTTTCACAGAAGAAGGTACTGATTCCCATGAGAATTCTTGCTGTAGGTATAACTTGTTTAAAATTTACAGGATGGGATGGATGAAACAACTTGAACAAAGAATATCTACCAAAGGGTACCATACAGATTTTAAAAATCAAAAACAATGTTCCAAAATTCTATTGCTTACTAGCCAGGAGACCTTAGGAAAATCCATTCATCTCTGTCTAGCCTCCATTTCTTCCTTTCTAAAAGAGCATCAAATGTCCCCTACTATCTTATCTGTGTGGTAGTCACAATTAAGATGAAAGACATAATCATCATCCTTTGAGCCAACATTATTCCTGCAGCAAGGAAACCTAACAAACACTCAGTGATCAGAACAGCTTTACCGCCCATATGTTGAATTCACCAAATACTGGAGCTTTATATAAGTTCATGCATACAAGTACTTTCCTTTTTCTAAGAGGAAGTAGTTCATAACAATATTTTTCTTTTTAAAATCCTCTAACATTTAGGGTCAACACAAGGGTCAACACACTCTCCGATTTCCTCCTTTCACATAGGGTCATAATAAAAACACCCAACTTGTACCCAGCAGACTACAACTATGGGTCACTTTATGTGAAGAACATGTGGCTCCAAGTGGACAACACTGATAGAATAGGGACCCAAGATAATTTTTTACTGGAGACCCTATTGCTAATTTGGAGCAAAGAGATTAACAAAACCGGTAACGTGGCTTGATCTGGATACAGTGCCACAGCAGTCACCTGAAGACAGAAGCTTCAAGTTACTCAACCATAAGGGGTGCAGGGTGGATTAAGAAAGGAGGGAAGACAAATACCACAGAAATCAGTGCTCTTCCTAGGAAGAAAGAACTGGCCAGTAACAATAAACCAGGAAGGACCTCCCTTCAGGGAAGACCTGAAGCCCTGATCCCTAGGAGGGCATGCTCACGGGTTAGCTATGGCTTTGTATGCCTGGCCACTTCAAACGGAAGCTTTCTAAAAGCATAAGAAATACTGTAAGATTTTATATAGGTTTAAAATAAATAGGCTTGAAACACACCTAGCTATTTAGCAACAGTGTAATCTTTTCCAAGTAGTTTATTCCAGCCCAAGGCTCAGTTTCCAGGTCTGTAAAATTAGGACAATAATACCTACATTACAGAATAGTTTCATAATATGGAGATAATGTGTGCACAGTCATCATCACACAATACAATGTGACCACAAAAGGAAAGCACAACTATCATGCTACTAGTATAACTACAGCAGAGACAATTGAATTCAATGGTAGAAGTCCATTAAATTCAGACTCCCCATGGAAATGGTTTGGAGAGAGGTTCAGATCCTACTTTGACAGCAATGCAAAACTTTCCTAACACTTCTATCACAATGGGGTGTTAAACCGAAGCTGCCACCTTAGCTGGCTGCTTTTTCTGACATAAGCAAAAAGAAAGCCCCAGCTGCATACCTGCTGGCAGTCCTCATATCCTTTTTTGATGGTGAATTCTGGAGAGGGAATGAGCCATTTCCATCACAGATACTGCACTGCTGTGCACTCCACAGCATCTGTGGGCCATGCAGGCTATGCTGAGAAGGGCACATCTTGGAGGCTTCCTTTAGCATCACACTGCAGCTTCACTGAGGACAATGTGGATGAGGCAGGAGTATCAGGACTTTTTAAAGAAGGCACTCCTTGACCCCTTCCAAATCACCCCCTTTCAAACTCCCTCCAATGATGCTGACCATTCAGAATAAGTGGAGAGCTCTTTTCACCCTTCAGAACCACAGTGGACAGTGTGCATAGGGAAACCTGTCTCCCTGCAATGTAGACACCCCTGATGTATGGGGAAAAAAACAACCCTATTTACTGTAATGTAAAATATTTTAGTAGATTAGTTAAAAGGATTGAAATCACCGTCAGGGATGGTAATATGCCACTGCTGCGGTTAGCTGTTCCAAAGAATTACAGATGATTCCAACAGCAAATGAACTTCCCATTCACAGTGCCAAGCACTGGGAGAAGGAAAGGAGTTGTAAGATGTATGAAAGAACGCAGAGCAACGCAAGCACCACCAAATGTAAGCAATCATGTTAGGTGACCCACTTAAAAAGGATAATCTGGATGTATAAGTCCTGGTGAGACTATTATAAGCCCAGTACCCCTAACTATGCTTCTAATAGAGTGCTAAAATTCTACAGCAGTCATGTAAAAACCTAGCTACAAAGAATGAATCCTCTCTCTCTCTCTCTCTCTCTCTCTCTCTCTCTCTCTCTCTCTCTCTCGTGTGTGTGTGGTGCTGGGCATTGAACCAAGGGCATCACACGTGTAAGACAAGCATTATTCCACTGAGTTACACCTTCAGCCATTTGACTGTATACTATTCTCTGGGGCGAGGCTTCAGGTTATTCCCAGGAGGAACGAAAGTGGTCAGATTCAAAAGCAAAGAGCATTCTAAGGCTAAAGTACACGCAAGACTAGACAGGTTGGGAAAAGCTCTTATAGCCACAAGACAAGCTTATTTTAGATTTTTATCCTCTTCCTCCCAGGGAGCTAGCTCACTGAGAGAAGCTGGGGCTTCTACTGAGAAGGCAGTGTCCTGAGTCACTGAAGGCATGGGCTTTGTGGTCACCAGAACTGCATTACCCAAATGAGTCCCGAAGAACTTGAGTACCTTATTCAATTGCTCCATGCTTTCATTCTTCCATCTACAGAATGGAAGTGGTACCAGTACTACAGCAAGATGTAATTCTATAAATAAAGACAGAATGCCTATAAATAAAGCCCATGGCAACCAGCAAGTATTCACTAAGAGCTATGCTAGTTGAGAAAAAAACACAAAAAACTGCCTTCATCCTCAGTAGAGATAGTAACAGGATGAAATCTACAACACAATAACAAAAAGAAGTACTCACATGATCAGACATGATCCAGACCACTTCACCAGGAGACCAGAAATGGCTTGGAGTAGTACAGGGTTGCCCTTAATGATAAAGAGCTAACTGCCTGCTCTGCCTCTAAGCATGTGCCCCGTGAACAGCAGCAGCAGCAATTATAAGCTGTTGGCCAGGGAAAGTTTCAGAATATTAATAGCTTCCACACAGAAACAGAACTGAATGTCTTACAAGATTACTCAAGTCATAGTAAAATCTCGAGTTCAAACCTAGGCAACTCCAGGCCTTATTCTTACCTACTACACCAAACTATTCAATGGCAAGAGAAAGAACTGAAGATAAGACACAGGCCAAAGAAAAGCCAGAGATGAGCAAAAAACCACACCCCAAAGCTGACTGAAGAAGACAGTACCACAGAGCTGTGAGTAGGGCCAAAGAGTTAAAGTGCCATATCTGCTAATGGCACAAAACTAAAAGCAGTCAACACAGATTTCAAAAGAGATCCTGAAAGGAGGGTACTGTGAGTGTGATCTAGTTTTGGAACACAGTGCTTACACAGAGCACAGTGACCCCATAGCATGACAGCTACTTTCTGAGATTCTTTTATCTTTTCTTTCATTTCTTAAAGCAGGAAAGAAGAGGAAGAGGCTGTTAAGGTGGGTGAGGAGGAAGAGCGACGGTGAAAGCAGGCCCTAGCTAAGTACCAGAATGCACAGAGAGGAAGGAAGAAGAAATTTAAGTCCCAGTCAGTCAGATGTGGCAGACTGGAAAGTGGCCCCTTGAGCTCTATCACTTATGATTCATCCGTTAGGTAATCCCCTTCCCTTAAGAACGAACAAGCTCTGTGGCCTGCTTATAACCAACAGAACATTGCAGAAATGACAGGATGTGTGTGTTACATTACAGGAGGTTATAATATCCAGTCTGCTACAAGTTTCCCTTCCATGCTGATTCTGAAAAGTAGACTGGCTGTCATGTTATGCACTACCTAATGAGAGAGCCACAGGAAGGCGAACTCAACAAGAAACTAAGGAGCTTAGTCCAAGAGCCCTTAAGAAGATAAATTCTGCTAAGTACAGGAGATTGAGCTGAATCCTTCCCCAGCTGTGCTTCAGCTAGGACAGCAGCTGCCCTAATACCCCGACCGGCAGCTCTGTGACAAGAAAGGGAAAAAATAACACTGTAATCCATTTTAAAAGCAACACACAGTACCTTCAAAGTAAGCTGAGGTACACCTAAAATAGGCTGCTTTCCTTATGAATGATCTGCTTCTCTTGCATCAACATCTATTAGGTAGGGTAGAAAACAAAAGGGGGCTGGCAGAGAAACTTCTACATGCAGGTCTATCCTACTACTTAATGTATGCTGATTCCTAAGGTCATCGATTCATTCAATAGATATGTGGAGAGTGTCTATGATCTCAGAGCAATGCAGTAGGCACTGTACACAAGAAACTTGTCTGTATATAAGCAAACAATACTTGTTAACATTTGCAACAAAAGTAATCACATCTCAACAAACAACCGAAGGAGAAAGAAATATTTCAAGTATGTATATTGGGAGGCTATGAAGAATATAGACTAGAACTTTCTTTTCTCCTAGAAATATCTATATTTAAAAATAAACAGCAGTGTGCTTTTCTGTGTAATGATATTGCCAGTAAGGCAGTTGTGGGAGCAATCCAAACAAAGGGGGTCACATGCCTCCACAATCCCTGTTAGAGAATGCTCCCAATAGCAGAAAAGCAATAATAAACAAACAAATAAATAAATGCAGCCTTTCAACACTCTCCTTTCCCCACCACCATGAATAAAGAAAGAAGCATTTATCTCCTCCCATGGAACCAACGTTTCCTCTCAACAGAGACTTCAACGTTGTGGGCAATGTGTTAGCATCACCTGGGCATCACTGAACCCTCCCATATTTTAAATGTATCTGAAATGCACTGGCATAATATTCCTAAGTAGTGCTAGTATTTCTAAAGGCAAAAGTGGAACAGACTTCCACACGCTACATTAATTCTAAATGGTTCACGCGTACAATGTTCTTAAATCTTAACAGTACTGTGAGGCACACTGCTACTGCTATCCCTATTTTATAGGTAAGAAGGCTAAAATTGAGTTGCTGACAAGACAGATACAATTATTCAGCAAATATAACTGCATGAAGTGCCTGCCAAGTTAACGGATAGTCAATAAGCTGTTAGGGAAAGTTCTGTCCTACCCAGGCGCCATGCTCTTATTTGTGGAACTTGCCCTTAGCCAATATTTCAGTCTCCTCTCTGTGAGTTTAGGAGTGTACTCCAGGCTGCTCCCTTCCTCACAGTGTGGGGAATACTGGCCTCACTCAAGCATGAAATGCCAGAAACCCCCTGAGCCACCACCTTCCAACTAGCTTTATTTCCAAGTCTCAAATATGTGTCTATTCCCCATGGGTCTCAAAATTGGGTAAGAAAGGTGTTGTTTAACTCCTGCCACTCCAACCTCCAACAGGATTAGGCTTTACTGTATGGCTGGGTGGCAAAGTCTTTGTGAAAAAGGTTAAATACCTTTTTTTTTTTAACATAAAAGAAAACAAAACCTCAGAGATACAAAAACACCACCTACCTAGTCCAACAAGGCATATACATGGGGGATTGTGAACAAACCAGTTCCTCTAACTGAAATGCCTTAGCTCAGATCTGAGACTACTGTGTTTTGATTGCACTGTTTTTAATGCATGTACAGTGTTTTCTGCTCTGACAGAAACAAAAGGTTTAATTACAGAAAACAAAAACCTCTAATTTTCCTACCACCACTCCTCAACATGTAAGTAAAAACCTAGGATATCTTTGGATTGTATTGGATTAGAATGTCCAATTTTTAAATACTTTATTATTTTTATTTTATGTGTATGAGTATTGTCTGCATGTATGTGAGTGCACATGTGTCGTGCAATGCCACGGAGATCAGAAGAGGGCATTGGATTTCCCTGGAACTGCAGTTAAGGGCAGTTTGTAGCCACCATGTGGGTGCTGGGAATCAAACCCAGGTCCTCTGCAAGTGCAGTCAGTGCTCTTAACCTCTGAGCCATCTCTCCAGCCCCAGAATGTTGAATTTTAAACATTGCTTGAACTTGACTTTTTAAAAGACCATTAATTTCATGTGATTAGGACAGAATTTCTAGGAAATTCTGAAATGGCCCTAAACATACTTTACCATTTTGTTCTGTATATTTATGTAAACTAGTGTTTGTAGCACTGATGATGATGAAATGAAAATATCAATCAACTCAGAAAAATATTGAAGTTCTACATTTGCAGATCAAACATTCAGCCAAGATTTAATTCTTTGTATAAAATTAAAGAAGCATGTTCATCTCAATTAGTATGCAACATCTTTAATAAATGGTAAAGTTTGATGTATAGCAAGGAACTGTTTTAAAAGAAATATCTTTATATTATCAGTAGATACTTGATTTTTATGTGCTCACGTACTGAGCACTCATATGAAAATCTCTCATGTTCGAAAAGGGGTATCAAGCAGAAAAAGGTTAAGAGGCCCCTCTCCGACTCCCAGTCCAGTGCTCCAAGGTAAGCAGCTCTCAGTTCCTTCACCATGTGTCACCTGAAAACTCAGTCTCCTTTCCAGGGAAAGGAAATGCCCCTGGGCAACCTTTCCTGTTCCACTGCCCACTTTAAAATGGTGGGAAGCTTCCCAACAGCAGGATTATTCCCACAAACAGGCAAGAGCATGCCACCTTTAGTC